ATTGTGAACACACAGAGGTGTAAATGGCCTGAGCTGCTAGAGCACCTCTAGAAAATAAACGTATATTACTACTACTACTTTCTTTCTTTCTTTAGAAAATAAACGTATATTACTACTACTACTACTTTCTTTCTTTCTTTCTTTCTTTTTCTTTGAATTTAGCACCTCTAGAAAATAAACGTATATTACTACTACTACTACCATTCTAGAAAATAAACGTATATTACTACTACTACTACCATTGTAAACTCACAGAGGTGTAAATGGCCCTAGATACTAAAGCACCGCTTGAAAATAAACTTATATATTACTACTACTACTACTACTTTCTTTTTTTTTCTTTAGGAGCATAAAATGACGAAAATTTTTTTTGTTCTTTTTTAACTGACCCCTTTTTATTGGCTAATATTATAATACAACATGCATCACAATCTATAAATAATGAAATGAATAAAGTAGAAAAAGGAAAACTGTATAAATAGAGACGGAAATGATAATGCATTCTTCGTCAGTGGTGTCCAAGCCGGAATCCACCCTAGGGCATGCATCGGCGAAATGACGAAAGTAAAATAAAAATATCAGATTATAAAATTCTAAGACACATTTATATTTAGTGCCACAAAAATCCCTTGTGAAGTATTTTCGACTTTTAACAAAATCGCAGATTATTTGAATGCCCTATTGCAATCTTAAACCTACATGATGAATAAATTCATTGTAATTCCAGAGTGACACAGAAAATGACATACCTATGCAAAGACATCGGACAAAATTCTACCATTTTCATCGCTGTGTTATTACGATCATGACCCACCAGTTGCAAATGCTTTGCCTGACTTCTCTATCTGAAGTAACTGATTTCCTCACAAACATGCAGGTAAAATATAATCACACTAACTTCACCTAGCCTGGCTGACAAAGTTTTTCTATAAGAAAGACTGAGAGTGGTCTCTGAGACCCCCATATAGGATACCCACATTGCAATTTTGCTTTTCATGAATTTTTTTTAAAGTTTCCGCGTCCCAGCAACGGGTATATAGCCTCATATGACTCCCTACCTTTAAACTCGAATCTCAATCCCAAGTAGCAGAGGTTGCAACAACTTGCAACGAAATCGTTTGATTCTTGCAACTAATAGATTGGTGTCCAGATTGCCTACTCTCTCCCCCAAAGGAGCTATCATTGTTGGAACTAGTTGCAATTAAGTTGAAACATGTTTCAACTTTAAAGTATTGGTGGTTGCCTATCTTTAGATTTTAAACAATTTTGGTTCAGCAATTTTGCAATCTCAGCAGGTCGCAACTTTGTCTTCCGACCAGATCGCCGAAAATCGGCACTTATCGACCAATAGTTGATCGAAAGTTGCAACTTTTACACTGAAAAATACTACTTGGGATGTGAGGAGGACAATTGGTAGCCGTTTGGAACGCCGTCTGTAAGAACATTTATCTTCAGGGGGGAAGAGGGACTTTCGTTGGAAGAGAAACAAATACTCGAAGGGCAGCGAAGGATTTCTAGGGAGGGAGGGGGGGGGGGTTGGAGGTTTTTTAGGGGTGGAGAAACTTATTTAGAGGTAGAGAAGGAATCTCAGCGAGTCATGGATATTCTATGATCAACTCTTCAGATTAAAATGTTCCCGCCCTTGATCGTGAATATATCGATTATCCGGAGGAGAAATGAAAAAAGAAAAATCCTTCGCTCCGCCATTCGTTCAATATTGCGACTGCTTAGCAAGGAGAGAGGATTTTTCTGCGGGAGAACTGCTGTCTATATATGTATAATACGGGCCAGGGTCGGCCGCGGGTAGCGCTCCAGAGGACGTCGCGCCATGTAATGGTCCCAATGCCCGATTTAAGTGGCAATAACTCGAAAACTGAAAATTGGAAAAGTCCAGTTTTAAGATATAGGTGGATCGCACATACTGTAGAGTAGAGGGAATTCATCTAAAAATCACTTCGATTGAAGTTTTTATGAAAACTTGACATCTGTAGTAGGAAAGTGCGACGCGGGGCACTAGGGTGCGGCTTATACGAAAAAATAAAATGATGAATTTCAAAATTGACACTTAATAATCATTGTAAAGCACCATATTCTAATTAATTAGATTTACTTATTCGGTAGCAAGTGGTTGCCGAATAACTTTTTTGAAGGAATGTCCAGCTGTAAAACTTAGAGAAATGTCTCAGAATAATCCTCGTCTTTTTGGCCTAAGTGCGTAATTGCTTACAACTTTTTCTCTCTTCTTTTCCATCTCTTCTTCTTGTTTATCTTTTTCTACTTCTTCCTCCGCCTCATTGCCGCTCCATTCTGGTGTTGCCCTCGCGTCATATATATCATCAGGTACATAATATGCTTGGAATAAGAATGACACAGCCACTACGCGGATCGAGGGTGGAAGTCCGTGCAACTGCTTGAGATCAGTTCTCGAACTAATCGCAAATCGTCAAACATATGAAGGAGCCCCACGGGATAAATTCGATGGGGGGCAACGAGAGGCGAGAGGGGAATTTTTATGAAACCGAAGCCCCTAAACGAGCTACACAAACCCCCCGAGTTCTAGATAAGAAGGGATCGTCCAGCGTTGCTAGGTATAATGCCCCTCCACTCCTTGGGCCATGTATTTCAGCATTCATCATTTTTCTGTCATTTGGCAGCTACGATTCCTCCAAAATGCGAAAATGCGTAGACAAAACAAAAAACGTGGCCTCATCTTTTCACATCGACTTCTTCGCAGGCTGGGGCCATGCTTATCGTGTCTGTATGCTGAACCGTTGCGCGGCTAAGCGGAGGAAGGGTAATGGGTGCCCCCCCCCCCCCCCAACAATCACTACTCCCTTCCCTCCGATGATGGCCTTAAGAGGGAGTAAAAGGCTAATACAAATGACCCCCGAGTGAAAAAAAGTATGATTTTACTGTCATTAGAACCCCGGCCGCAAATGTTTAACTACCCAGCACTTGATTTGTTACGCCCGGGCGGAAGAGCTTCGATATATCATATTTCCGTTGATCGATCGTGAGTCTAAAATGATCGATGTTAATCGTTTCTGATGTGAAATTCAACGCTCTTTTAGAATCCGCCATTAACTTTTACGTAAGAGCAGCCGTTTCAAAGAAAAGTGGGCATTTTCGGGAAAAAACTGAAATTTCCGTAAATGCCCGTTTTTTCGGCGGCCATTTTGAGGGGTTCAAAGTCGTTTTACAAAAAAATTCATAGAAGTCATTTTTATTGGAAATTTTATGAACTTTCATTCACTAAATAGCTCATTTTCCGCTAAAATCAATTCTTATAGAGACATTTACGAAAAACCGAGGAAAGGTCGATTTTTTGGGGGTTTGGGGGTTGGGGGGGGGGGGGGGGAG